ATCTGCCTGTTCTGCTTCCCACTCTGTTTCTGGTGAATTCTCTCGCCGCCCCTGCACCTCTGGCTATACCCCATTTCTGTATGCATAAATAGATAAATCTTAAAAAAAAAAATGACCACTGGGCTTAGACACAACATTTCTGAAGTCAGCAATCTGGGACATGGTGTACAACTCCTCTGTACACACTTGTGCTGACTGAGTGCAGATGTGGAAACGGCACACAGCTTGCACTGTCCAACTCCTGGTAGGTGGCTGCAAAAAAAACAAATGACAAAAACCACCCTGACACGCTGTAACTGGTCAGATGCTCACCTTCTGGATGCTCCTGCATACCTCAATTGTATTCAAAAGAATGAATCAAGAAGGAAGTTTGGTGAAAAAGCTTTTCTGGAATTTCTAAGTTGCACCTGCATCTTACTGACCTAAGGGAGTGAGGTGTGGAAATCCCTTAGGGTCAAAATATTTCTGCTCTGTGTGAAACTGCCACTGGCCTGGGGCTTTTCTCCTGGGCCAATTGACAGAGCTGAAGAGAAAGAGCCAAGGGATGTTGCAGTCGCTGACTGGAAGCCCCACAGCAATGTGCTGCAGTGAGTCACTCAGAAAATACAAAGAACAATAGAACTTGTAGGTGGTTATTGATAGCTGTAAGCCTCCACTCCTTCAGTTTATAAAGATACAAATCTTAGTTATTAATGGTAAAGATGAAAAAACAGCAGCCTGAAGTTAGGAAATTCAAATGGGTTCTTTTCTCAGCACATCATATAAAGACAGCCCTATTCTGGGAAGTCTAGTTTGCTGGACATGTTTGAATGCCAAGTACATTCCTTGTTCTAGCCCACTCGTGGCCAGCTTTACTCACATTTGCAGAAACATGAGCTCTACAGGCACAGGCATACCAGGGAGCCAGGTGAGTGGTCTGCCCATGGCAACACTGGCTTAGTGCATTACATGGAGAGGTAGGAGTATCAGCCTCCATTATCAGTGAATGAAATCATTTTCTCAGCCTTAGGAAATTAGCCTAATGGATATAGGTTGTGATTGTTCCAGCATTCACACAGGCTACGCTCTGTTAAAAATGCCAACCATACTATTTTTAAAAAAATTTATTTATTTATGCATAAAGAAATGGGGTACAGCCAGAGGTGCAGGGGTAAGAGGATTCATCAGAGACAGAGTGGGGAGCAGAACAGGCTGACTGACTGAGATAAACTGCTGAGGGGAGCAGCGGGCGGGTCAGGAGAGATCTGCCGCACCATGTGGGTCATCCCCTGGCTGGGGATCAAACTCATGCTGCAGTGGCTGTGATAGCTTCATAGTGCCGTGCTTTTAACCTATTGCGCCACCAGGGAGGGCCCCCAACCATACTATTAACTTAAACTTAAGTTGAAGCTCCCACTGGCTATATGGATTAGTAAATATATAAACAGGAAAAGTGTGAGTTAGTAAATATATAAACAAGAAAAGTATGCTTAATTTGTGTGTGCATGCAAGCATGAGTCTTCGTGTTTCATTATTTGAGCTGCATTCTTAGTTACTAAGTATGAGAAGAGATATAGCTCTTACTAAGAATGAAATTAGCTATATCCATTTAAAGTGCTACTTTGGAGCTTATGAATTGAACTCTTTCCTTGTCCTTCACCCCATGGGAATGTGTTTTTTTAATTTTTAATAACATTTGTTTTATTTATTTATGCATATAAGAGATGATGTGTAGATCAGAGTTGCAGAGCAGGGAAAGATTGTCAAGGATTTGCCAGAGACAGAGTGGGGAGCAGAACAAGAGGATCTACTGAAATACACTGCTGAGGGGTGCAGCAGGGACAGGAGAGGTCAGCTGTGCCATATGCGGGTCACCTCCCTGGCTGGAGATTGAACTCATGCTGCCCTCCATGGGAATATTTCACACATTGCACCCTTAGACATAGTGCAGATTTTGAGATATAATCTTATTTTGAAAATATTATATCAATTTGTTCCTATTAAAAAATACTTTAAAAATCAGCTGAGTCTGATGCTGGTGGCCCAGGGTGGTGGTGGGGGGATTATGGTTGGGTCCTAACAGGATTAGATAATTGCTTCCCTTTGGGATGTGGTTAGATACAAACACCCAGTGCTGTAAAAAACAAAATAGCACCCCCATTTGGAGGGCTCACCATCGTTATTGCTTCAAGTTGAAAAGGGGCAGAAAAATATTCTATCTAGAGACCTGGTTTGATAGAGAGTTAGAACAGTCTGTTAAAACAATTGTGCAAAATATGGAGAAGAAAAAGCATGAGTGTTGGCTGACATGCCTTCCCCAGCATGTGCTCACACTCATCGTGAACATGAGGGACTGCAAGACTGTCCTAGTAGAGGGAAGCCTCATTTTGTCTGCTGAATCTGGCGATGAAGACTGGGCGTGGAGATTGCTCATATGACTGTACTTTTGTCTAGGGAGAGGATGCAGCAATAATGGATACACTTCCCCACCCCCCTTTTTGTCTGCACTTCACCTTAACCCTTTCTTTTTTCAACTTTTGTAATGGTCCTATAACCAGGATTGCAAATATGAGTGATGGAAACAAAGATGATCCCTAACATAGAAATCACAATTGTATTTTATATATTTTTTAATTATATATATTTTTGCTTCATTCTTCATTTTGCACATCTTTCACCTCGGTTGTAAACCCCATGGATTTCCCACCACCAATTCCCCCATGTGCTATCCTATTCCAGCTCCTCCTCCGTAGACTGTATTTTAAAACTTGGGTCAGAATCCTAAGGGCATGATGGGGCAGGGTGTGCTTGGATCCATCTGACAAAACGGGGGCGGACCCTGAACGTGCTATAAAAAGACAGGTAGGAATGGCTGTGGAATTCAAGGCAAACATGAGGCGATCGAAGCATAAATTCCTCCACGTGTTGGTGAAGATTATTAATATATTTTCAAATACTCCAAAATTTTCCAATTCTTAATATAAAACTCTTCTATTCATGAGCTACTGCTCTGCATCTGATGTTGAGTTTTATTTACCAATGTTTTATTTAGCATTCTTTCATATCAAAATCATCAAGATGGGTATGTATTTGTATTCTGTCACAATCTGTGATATTTTTTGTCCAATTTGGTGTTAATATGTTACTCTATTTTCTAAAATCATATCAGGAAGCCTTTTCTCTATCTCTATTATCTGAAATGGTTTGAAGAGAATTTGGAACTATAAGATTCTTAGGAGTTCAGCATATTTCATGTCTGGGCAAAGACTAAGGAAGATGTGTCTTGAAATACATAACAATCTTAAATCTCTACTTAAGTCAGCCTGGTGTATAAGTATGCATGGCCATCCTCTCTTCCCTTTTTAATTTGTACTCATTTCTCTGTCATACTTATCTACATATTAATTAATAATTTATTTAACTATTTGTTAAAAGAATCATTTCTTGGGTCCCTCCCTGGTGGCACAACAGGTTAGGATGCAACACTGCAAGCTGGCCGCAGCGCTTCAGTGCGAGTTCTATCCCCGGTCCAGCAGACCTCTCCTGTCTTGCCTGCTGCTCCCCTCAGCAGTGTACTTTGATGATCTGCCTGTTCTGCTCCCCACTCTATCTTGGTGAATCACCACCCCTGCACCTCTGGCCTATACTCTGGTTGTACATATACAAATAAATACATCTTTAAAAAAATAGAATAATTTCTTGGCTTGATTTATCCTTGTTGCTGATTTAATTTATTTATATTTTCAGTTTTGCGAATTCCTTCTGCTCTGCTTAGTTTGTGTGTATGTGTCTGGCCACGTGGTGTTCTCTCCTTTTTGGATTTCATGTATACTTCATTTTCATTTTTGTTGCTCCACTGAATACATAGATTTTTTTCTCTATATCCTTTTTCTATCTTATCCATATTCATATTTGACTTCCATGTGTATTTTTTTACATAAATACTAAATAAATTTATTTTCACTTTTCAAAATCTGAATTTGTTGATTTTTTTTTTCAAATCTCCCATGTATCTTTCACTTTCTTTTCTATGAGAAAAATAAGATGAGGAATGGGTGTGAAACCATGCAGACCTGAGGGATGTCATGGCTTGTGGGTTCTCACCTGTGTCCTTACAACTGCAAGACACCACTCAGATTCAACAAACAACAGGTTTATTAACAAGGTGAAATTAGGAAAAAGGAAAATGTGTCTAAGGTCAAATGACTGGCTGTCCATACCCTAAAACAGAGTCCAGCAGTTCAAATGAAAAGTTGCTCATGGGGCCTCTCGGGGGGTGCAAGGGGTTAAGTCTCAGCACTATGAGGCCATCTGCAGCCACTGCAGCATGACTTTGATCACCAGCCGGGGAGGTGACCCACATGGTACAGCGGACCTCTCCTGTTTCATCTCCTGCTCCCCTCAGCAGTGTACTTCAGTAGAGCTACTTGTTCTGCTCCCCGCTCTGCCTCTGGTGAATCCTCTCACCCCCTTTCATCTCAGCCTACAACCCAGTTAATGTATGCATAAATAATTAAAACCAATCTTTAGAAAACGTTGCTTATGCAAGATGATAGTGTCCTTTCAATGAGAGCTCAGAGCCACTGACACACTGATGATGAGTGGTGGATCAGGCCCCAGTTCACAGTGGCGGCTCGAAGGAAGCATAGGTGACACTTCTGAGGTAGCTCCAGAGTAGTCAGCTGCAGTAATCTGAAGGTTGGGCTGGGTAGTGATGGACACATGGGCACCAGGTAGCGAGACCAGGCATGCTGGAGGCAAGGGTGGTGGTCAGCAGTTGTGACAGAGGGTCAGGTACCAGTGGACAGCTCCTTCAGATGTACCACAGATATTTCTGCCACCATTTAAAACTAGAAGTCACACTATACCTTTTAAGTCATTAAGCAGTTCTTCAGTTCTGGCTGGAGCACAGCTTGGAGAATGCTTGTGCAAATAGACCTCAGGATTTGAAACAACTGTTTGGCAACTCCTTTAGTACTTAATAAAAAATGCTATCAAGAAAACTGATAACATGAAAATGTTCACTTGCTTATTCTGGTAACAGAAACACCCACCAAGGGATTATCTTCTTCCCTGGACTTCAATGTATCATAAGATTGTTGTTCTAGAAGAGGGAGTTGTAGGCTGTCAGACAAGCCATTAATCTTCAACAGAAGTTCATCTAGTAGATCTGCAAATTCATCCAGATAATAACTCTAAAGGGAAGAAAATTAGAATAGTAAATGCATCCAAGAACCTAATGTTTTCTTCTTTCCTCATTATCTGAAGTATTTCATGGTATGGCCTTGAGATGAGATTGCACTGTATTAGAAAGCACATTGCACCCAGGACTCAGGGCCCAGGTGCTGGGCCTAAATCGTCACATCTCAGGTCCCCCATTCATGCTGCCATAGTGCAAGTATTCACATCCACACCTCATTCATGATCTCTTACACAGTCTGACATGTTATGATTCATAATGTCTACACAAAGGACTATAAATAGATTTAAGGCTGATAATATTTGGGAAAGTACATTGTGAACTGTGAAGTTCTATAAAAATGGACATCACGATTACAAATTATTTTTTTATTATTATTATTTTTTAACTATACTGGGTGATGCCTATATATCTGCATGGAAAATAGTTGGGTATTCAATGGACAAATTCTTGCATTTAAGTCTGGGGTGATGATATGCAAACACTTTACCTAACATTCCACGTTTTGGGCAAGAGTTTAGATCTAGTAACAGGAACCAAAAGTGAACAACTAAGTCAAAGCATCTGAGTAGGTGTGTGTTGGGGTGTGGGGAGAGTAATAGAAAGTCCATCTTTCCAACCTTAACATTCTAAGGACATAATGAGTTAATGGAGGAAACTGCTTGCTAATAGTGAAGTGTTAGTGATTATAAGTGAAAATGCTGTGATCTGCAACATTTGGTCCTGGATCACAATTATGTTGTAATAACTAAAGCAAAATCCTACAGTGAGTTCATCATCTTGAACATATTATTTACTCAGTAATTCCATATACCACAGCTTACATGATTTTCAGTCACCTCAGCCTCTTCCACCTCAGGCCTTCTTAATCCCAGAAGGATGAGCGCCTTCCTCCACATGTAGGTAGTCACATCTTTGAGGCTCACAAGAAAATTTCTTTGAAAAGTTTTTCTTTTTTGGGCAAAAATCATGAGGGAACCCCTCAGCTGGGATAGAGAAAAAATAAAGACAAATTTTGTGTTAGCAAATAAATTAGCTTTGTTTCAAGAAAATGAAGATTATGTTTGATGATGTTATTTTATGAGCTTTTAATAAAATAGCAGTTGCTTAGCAAAAATCATCAGGAAAAATGGGGCTTCCCTGGTGGTGCAACAGGCTGAAGTGCAGCACTATGAAGCTATCCACAGCCACTGCAGCACCAGTGTGGTCAGTGACCCACATGGTGTGGTACACCCCCCACCCCACTGCCCCCCTCAGTGTATTTCAGTGGAGCTGCCTGTTGCCTCTGGTGAATCCTCTCACCCCAACACTTTTGGCCTTGGTTCTAGTATGCATAAATAAATAAATAAATCTTTAAAAAAAATCATCAGGAAAAAGTCTCTTATGAATTAAACTAAATTTCAGCAAAAAGAATTCAATAATGGACATTAAAGTTATTATAAAAGATAATTTAATATCTAACAGTTGAGAATTAATTAGCATGATGTATATTTCTATAGGTAAATGTGTGTCAGTTTTGGGGCTCCTGGTGAGCCCTGCATGAGTGTGTGCCTGGGAGGGCGGGGCTACAGGCCTGGAGTTGCTGTGCTTTCATGGGTGTTATGTAAAGGAGCCATCCATGGTCTTTGAGTACTGGCTCTGGATTGCTTGATTGAACATTGCAAGCTGATATCCGTTAGCTCAATAATCTGCAGGTATCGAAGTCAGTTTTACAGATTTAACTCTTTCAAAAATACCCTCCCTGGTGGTACAGTGGGTTAAAGCACAGCATAATAAGCTAAAGCCACTTCAGCATGAGTTCAATCCCTGCCCCAGAGGTGACCCACATGGCGTGGCAGACCTCTCCTGACCTGCCTGCTGCTCCCCTCAGCAGTGTGCTTTGTCCATCTGCCTTTCCTTCTTCCCACTCTGTCTCTGGTGCCCCTGCACCTCTGGCATGTACCCCAGTTCTGTAAATAAATAAATCTTTTAAAAGAATAGCCATAGTAAAGCAGTGTTTTGGCCAGTAGAGCCTACTTTGCATATCCTGTGAAACTCCACTGGTCAGCAATTAGTAGTACAAGGTATTGCAGCAATAAGGCCCCAAACACTGCTGGCAGTAGACACTCTCTGGCTCAGGGACTCTCTTCTCACTGTGGAACAACACTCCCTATAGTGGAAGATGCCTCCACAGTGCCCTTTTCACGATTTCCCTTCCCCTTCTCCCATTCTTGATCACCATCTCACAATGCAACCTCTGACGGTCACAAAAACTGGGACATCTCTGACATGAACACTTGTCAAGATGTCACCCACATACAACTTGTATGTGTTACTGCCTCTCATGGTTATATCTTTTCGCTTGAGCAGCCCCCAGGCAACCACCTGACAATGGGCCAGCACATTCCTGGGATGCCCAGGTGCACCAGGCCAGGTCACTGAACACATAGGCAGTTGTGGCTCTGAGGCTTTTCCCTGCTCTACCAGCTGAAGAGCCAGAAAGCCTGCAGCAACATGACTGTCTCCTGTACCCAGATTCCATGGTCAACATTGTCTGCCAGTTTCAGATGAAAAGTGCAAATGCTTTAGTATGACACTCAGAATCTTCCACTCCTGGCTCTAATGATCCTGTTCAAAGTCACAACTGCTTGACCCTGAGGCCCCAACTCTAGCATGACCCTCTCTGCTACTTTTGCTCCTGTCTCTCTTGCCCCTGAATTCTGCTCTCAGTTGTCTCCATGAATTTGTCTTTGCACCTCCATGAAGGCCCATTTCCTATGGGGTGAGGATTTCTTGGCTTTCTGCAGAAGAACAAATTAGTCTCTCATGTAAGTTTCTTGCTCTTGGAGGAAACTTCTAGTTGGCTTTTAAAGTTGCATAAAATTGTTCAAGATCTTTATGTTGAAAATGACAAAGCATTGATGAAAGAACTTAAAGAAGATATAAATAGAGATATGCAAAAAAATCTTCTGGAGAAATTTAATATTATTAAGATGTCAGTTCTCTCCAAATTTGACTTACATTTGCATGTCAATCTCAATAAAAACCCCAGCATAGTTCTTTTTTTGTAGACACCAACATGCTGATTATAAAATTTATATGAAATGACAAAGAAGTAGAATAGCCTAAGGTGAAAGAGGTCACCTTGAATTCTCCAATTCATATATGTCATTTTAATACTTTGTACAAATTTATAGCTATCAAGACAAGACTGTGGAAATGGCAAAAGAATAGATCGATGGAATAGAGTAGAATGGAATCCACCTAGACACGGCTCACTGAGTTTTAATGGTGCTGGTACAATTGAATATCCATATATAGAAAAGATTGCTCCATACCTGTCAACTTATCCCAGAATTAACTCAAAATGGATTATCAACCCTACTATAAAAGATAAAATCAACACAGAGGAAAAGATAGGAGAAAGTATGTGTGATCTTAGTTTTAACAGTTTTCAGATGGGACACCACACAATTCATAAAATAAAAAATTGATAAACTCATCAAAATAAACTACTTTTACTCTATAAAAGACACTGTTAATAGGATGAAAGGAAAGTTCTAGATTTGGAAAAATATTTGAAAATAATAGATCCAACAAAAGAATAAAAAACACATAAATTACTATATTTACCAAATAAAGTTTTTAAAAGAGGAGAAGGTAGACAACTAACAGCTCATTTATAAATCACAGCACTTGTGGATTAGAAATAAAGTACTATTATTTCTGTTTCACTATTGCCTCAATATAGGAATTGTTAAGTAACTGTTGAATATTGCATGAATTAAAAATAGAATGAATAGATGAATGGGAGGGAGGTCGGGAGGGATGGATGTATGGATGTATGTATGGATGGAAGAATATGTAGGTGGACAAATGAGCAGGAAGCAGGGATATGGAGCTCTGAAAGAAAGCAAAGTGGACCCTCCCTGGTGGTGCAATGGGCTAGGACACAGCACTGTAAGCTGGCCACAGCCGCTTCAGTGCGAGTTTGATCTCTGGCCCCGGAGGTGACCCACATGGCATGGCAGACCTCTCCTGTCTTGCCCACTGCTCCCCTCAGCAGTATACCTCATCGATCTGCTTGTTCTCCTTTCCACTCTGTCTAAGGTGAATCCTCTCACCCCTGCTTCACCTCTGGCCTGTACCCCAGTTCTGTATGTATAAATAAATAAATCTTAAAAAAAATTAAAAATAAAGGCTAAGTGTTTGAGTCTGTTTCTGGTCATAGCGTTAGCACGTGCAGTCACTCATAGTTTTACTCTAGTTACAAACTGTAATACGCACAATGACTTAAGGGCTGAAGACAATTGTAACCCACTTACAAAGCTAGAATATTCATTCATTAATGTATATTGAGCTCCAGAAGGATCTACCAGGATTGACCAGAAGCCAGGCACACCAGACACCTGTTATGACTGTGGCCAGAGTTCAAAGGGAAGATAGAAATCCAGCAGGCACTGCAGATGCAGTGGAAAGGCATGAAGAGCAGCCAGCAGGGACTTGGGGTGGCAGAACCAGAGAAAGCTTCCAGAGTGACCCCAAACTAAATGCTGTCTTTTAAGTGTCAGGGGACTTCTGGTGGGGGCTCAGGGTGGCACCCACAGGCAGGGCCTGTAGTAGAGGTGGGGATGTGTCGAGAACCCTGATGCTCCATCAGAGCAGGGCAGGGATGTGCCTGCTCAAGCACAAAGCAGGGATCCCCCCTTGCGTCTTCTTCAGGAAGCTTGGAGGGTTTTCCCTCTATGAAGCTGCTGTCTGAGGGCCCCTGGACAAGAGTGGAGTGCAGAGGAGAGAAAGTGCAGGTGGGACATCCACTGAGATTTACTTTCAGGTAAGCAATGCTTATTTAGATTAGGTGTGTCTGAACTGTTGGAGGGACATACTAATACTAAGGAATCATTTGTTGTTATCTGAAATTTAATTACAGCTGGGTTATCCATCATTTTTATTTACTGACTATGGTAATTCTTAAGTGTGGGGGTGGGGGCAGGTAAACATCTTTCTCTGTGGAAGGAGTTTAAGCCAGATTGTGTATGTGGAAGTGGGTTGTGCATGAGACATGATTCGGTTTGTAGTTGGTTGATTGGTAGGAGTGGGAACTAACAGCCCCATTCCAAACTCAGTGCCCAACTGGAAAGATGTTGCCAGTGGGAGCTGGCTGGTGGAGACAAACTTTTATAAGATGGAAGGTTTGACATAAGAAGGCAAGAGACAGCCAACAGAAAAGTGATTGTGTGAAATTAAGTTAGAGGAAAGAAGGCTTAGTGTTGAGAAGGCCTGGGGGGCTCCGTGGAGGTGGTGGCACTCTGGAATGGCTGTTGCTGTTGCTGGGCTTGTGCAGTCTAGCACAAGAGTCCAATGAACTGTGTCCAGTCCCTGTTCGGCCCTGAAGCATCTCAGAGGATTGTGACCATGAGGGTCTTGTAGACAGAAACAAACGTATAGAACGTCACACCACATGAAATCTTTGCAAACCCTAATTTCAAAGTCTGGGATGTGTCCACATACCATTCCAAACCACAAAGTGGTCAGTACTATAAAAATGACCCAGTAGCACCAAGCCATGGTTTGCTGGCTAGATTGGGAAAGGCCATGGAAGGTATCACTTTGACTTCTTCCTGGAAAAGGAAACAGCAGGCCGTGGAAGGAGTCTGAGAAGCTTCCAGATGGCAGGATCCAGGTGAAGAGCAGAAATCCATGTAGGTGTGAGAGGGAAGCTAACATCAGGACGCCCACCAGCTGCAAGGAGAAAACCCGAGACAACTGATTTATGGTTCATAGGTGCCCAAGACTCCTTGGGGACTTTATATTGCTTTAAAATAACAAAGACTTAGAGAAACAGATTTTGGATTCCCTCTAGGCTTTGCTCCTGGGCCTCATCCCGCTAAGGCTCCCATGCCAGCCTTATTTGCTCCTCTATATTGGGAGCTCAAGGTCACCATACTTTAGTTCCTGCTTGCACCCTCTGTGAAGGCCCCTCTGCCTTCAAGTCCAGTGACCCTCCACATAGATCCTCCTCCAGGGCTGGAGCCCAGGCTCGCCGATAGGGGCGACCCTCTCATGGGCTTTGCATGACCTGCACCTGGCAAGAATTTAGTAAAATAAACTACTTAGGAAATGACAGGAAAGGTAAACTAAATGAAGTTTACCTCACTTCAGGTGAGGTTTTGCTCCCTGGTGGTTGTAACCATCTGGGGACGTGACCTGAGTGTCGGGTTGTGTCACAGACCCTGTGTATATGTCCCTCTCCATCGATGCAGACAAGCGCTGGTGGTAGCAGCATTTTCTCACCTGTAGGCTGACACCCCTCACCACAGCCTCCCTGGTCAGTGTGTGTACACTGTCCCCACAGGGGCTGCCCCAGCGGCAACACAGGCTGTGTTCCACCGGCCTCCACTTCCCTTCCCCCAGCATTATTTACCCCCAAGTGGAATCGCCAGCAGTGGCATTCAGAAGAGAAAACACAACCTTGAGTCCACCATCTCCACAACTCCAGCTGCGTGGTCCCCTCCATTCCTTTTATCCCGGGCCCTATGCAGACAATTTCTGAACACCTGGAATTCTGCTACCTGATTTGAACACAGTTTATCCTATTCTGGACTCTTCTTAACAAAAAATCATTTTTTGTATGTTGCCAGCTGCTTGTTTAATGACCACTTTAACAGCCAGGTGAGTCCACGTTACATCATATGTGAGCCCAGCACCTTCTGGGCCAACATCTTCACTGAGTTTCTGGGAGTGGAGGTTGGTAACTGGCCCGTGCCTGCAGCAATGGGCTTAGGACACGTGCAGCTGGCGCTGCACTTGGTTTCTCACTCTGGCCTGCTCTTTCTGTCCCAGTTTGTGGGCCTGTTGTCAAGCCTAAGACCAGCAGGGTTTAGGGACCTGGGCTTCGTCTCTATGTGCTACATGAGACCGGGACTCAAGAGACTAAGCTTCCCAGTCAGGACACCACCACAATCCTGCTGCAGGGGTGGAAGTGGGCATGCAGGCTAGAGTAGACTCCTGCCCCGCTGGGGCCAGATCTGAATCTCTGGCAACCCAGTAAAATTTGATGAGGACCTTGAGCATGATCGAGACCTGCCTGGTTCTGGATTCGCCTGTCCAACCAGGTGGCAGGGTATCCCCAGACTGAGACCTGGCCCTTCCAGGGTTGGAGTTAGGCTGCCCAAGGACCCAGGCAGGCTTCCAGGCAAGCACTGACATGCCCATTCCTATGTTCTTTCTCGGGTTTGTGTTTTCTTTCTTCTGAGTTCCACGCATGGTGGGCAACTCCTCTTGGAAGCAAGAAGTACAGAGGCACTCCAGTGCATTTCTAGAGAGATTCTTGGATGCAGGGAGGCCAGAGGCAACCCCTATAGGATGCAATGCATGGAGGGGTCCCAAGGCCAGGGGCTGTGGCCTGAGGCAAGTCTGGCCACTGCACTCAGCCTCTTTTCCTACCTCTGAAAGGCTTGTATGTAATAATTAGGTGGGTCTCATGCACCAGTCCTGGCACTTAGAAAAAACCAGTATGTGTTAACGACTTATACTAGGGATAATAATAATAATAATAATCCATGAGAACATATACAGCTCAAATATTTAATCAATCATGGCTAATATCATGACTTAATAAGTTATTAGACAGCTGCTTTCTGTGATGGAAAAACACCTAATAATTGGTTAGAAGACTAGAATTCTTGGTAACAGTGCACCTGGAGAGAAGTTTGTTTTCCCTTCTAGACACATTAACTGGAAAGGATGCACTGATTGTATCAGTTAATCAGGGAGATAACTTACCACTGGTGTGAAGATGCTGGAGAACGAGCAGCGTCTCATGAAGGAGCAGGGAGTCAATGTGCATTGAATGCCGAGAAGACAAGTGCATTTCAATATCAAGAAGAATGAGAGGATTCCCTGGAGCCATCTCACCTTCTGAGACAATGACAGGGATTTCAGAGCGTTATACCAACCTTGGGGTGCACAGCTGTGTTCACATGAGGAGCACAAAGATTAACAGCTATGCTTTGGAGGTGACGTAGTTCTCCAGACCATGGAACATAATTGTTAGATGTCTGCAGAAAAGATGAAGTCAGAACTAGGAGTAAGCACAAATTAGAATGCACTGTCAGAAAGGCCAGGTCTGAATTTTGATCTTCCCATATCTGTAATGATCAGGACAGAGTTGGTTTGACATTTCCTTGGTCTGAGTCTCAGTTAACTGAAAATGTAAAAACATCACTAGCGAAGGGAACATGGAAATTATTCAGCGTCTGTGAATCCTCCCTTCCTGTCTTTCCCAGAGCATAAATAGAATGTGTAATAGTGGCACTTTGTTTTTAAATCGAAGTACCATTGTTTTATATCCCTGCTAGCTTTGACAGTATAGATTTCTTTCCTCAGGTGAAGTCACTTCCAAAACCAAAGGTCCCAGCGCCCCCCACCAATGTCCACTGTGCTCTCCCTCCCTCACCCCACTTCTTACACCTCTCCCTCCTCCTCCCCTTCTGAATGCCTAGACCTGTGGGCAGATTTCAAGGGTAGGTTGTAGTGTTTGGTTTTGACCCTTTGTTTGGTTTCTCTATATTCCACATAGAAATGACACCATTCAGTATTTATCTTTCTCCTGGCTTAATTTGGTTAACCTAACACCTACTAACTCTATCCAAGTTTCTGCAAATGATAGGAGTTTATTTCTCTAATCACTAAGTAGTATTCCATGTAACATTTTTAAAACACATATTTTTGTATTCAATTTTTACAAAACTAGAAGCAACTGATTTTATACTTGTCGAGTATGAGGCTTAGATAAGTAAGATGGTCAAATGAAAGTAGCTTAGCTGGGGAAATAGCAACTTAATTTCACACCCACCTCCTGGGTCAGCAATAGCCTCTAACATCCAAACCAGTCTGGTTCCTTGTGGAGCAGCAACACACATGGACAAACTTCTATAGCAATGCCCAACAACCATTCATACTAGAGGTTGTTGAAAAATATTCTAGTTGCCACATGTTCAAAAGTAAAGACAAACAGGTAAAATTTGATTCATGATATATTTTACTTAACCGATTAAAACTAAAATGCCACCTATGTTTATGAGGATAGTCTGAGTGGAGAGGAAACTTAGGACGTGTCTAAGCAAATCACTAAGAGGCCTTTCATGCCACCTAAATACATCATGTCTTTTTTTTTTAATATTTATTTATTTATGCATACAGAACTAAGGTATAGGCCAGAGGTGCAGGGGCGGTGAGAGGCTTTACCATGGGAGCAGAACAGGCAGATCAGCAAAGTACACTGTTGAGGGGAGCAGTGGGTGGGCCAGAGAAGGTCTGCGGTGCCATGTGGGTCACCTCCAGGGTGGGCAGGGATGGAACTCATGCTGATGTGGCTTTAGCTTTTTAGTGCTGTGCTTTAACCTGCTGCACCACCAGGGAGGGCACATACCTAAATACATCATTTCTTATGCCACCTAGGGTCACGTAAGGTCATTGGAAAATCTCCATGCTCTTGAGTTCAGTGTTACATTGACCCCAGCTTGCAATACATTCCAAGAACTTGTAGACCACATCATCCTCATCTATGAGCTCAGAGCATTATCCCTCACTATGGAATGAATCCTGCAATTTGAAACTTCTAGAATATGCATGATCTCTTCCTTTGGGCAACATCGCATTGCATAGTGCCTATCTATGTTTCCCTGTACACAGTGTCATACCTGATTCCATGATGCTATATGACTAAGGTCCATAAACCCTTGAAAAACTCCTTTCTGGATCTGGTCCTTCACTTCCCCTGCAAGATTAACCAGGTGGCTCCAGGCTAAGTAGTAGGCGAGGCTGACCCCAACTATGGAGACCTGCAAAGTGGAGAAAGAGGGCCATGAGACAGGCTCCCGAGATAGTAGCTGTGATAACCACAGGATCTAGTGATCTGCAGATTACATACAGCACTAAGTGGATAAACTTGATTTCACATGTTATTGTGGCATTACTATGATGGAGAAAACATGAATAAGGTTGAAATTAACTAGTGTATCACGAAGCTCCCATTACAGTTAGTTATTTTTATTTTTAGGTAAGGGCTTTGTTATTATTTTTCATGAAGAAGATGACATGAGAGCCTACCTCCAGCCAGTTCCTTGGTTTTCGCCAATATCTGAGGAAGCCCTTCTCAGTTATGATGTAGAATTGGAAAGTGAAGTGAATCAGGCAGAGCACAAGCAAGATCAGCTGATAGATAGAATACCAACAAAATAGATGAACAAAAATGCTGATAATCTCTTAGGGCTTAAACTCCTAGGCAGCTCCCCCACCAATCTTCTTTTCAGTAGATATGATGAAATCGATTTTTTGTTTTACAGATTTATGATGCCAATTTACTCTGATTTGGGGGCAGAATGGCAGCTCTTCACATGTCAAGCCCTCTTGGAAACCAACCCTCTGCCAGGCATTATGGAAGCCCACCTGCCCTGAGTGAAACTGAGGAGTCTCACTGTGCCATAGACACCAGGCTGTTTCCTTAGTTCCAGGTCAGCCCCTTTGAGTCTTTACTCAGTGTGACTTAAAAGCATGAATTTTTCATGTATTTGTGAGATATGTGAAGTATAGTCAGTTTCCTCAGACAAGTGAAGTCTTCTAAAGCTCCCATCTAAGGATGTGGTAAAGTTCTGTTTATGATCCTCTCATTGATGAGTCACCTGTCATTCTAGCCTGTGCTCATGCAGAACAAGAAATGAACATACATAGAACTTAGGAACCAAACCTGTTTGAGGTCATGACAGCCTCAAAGAGTCTTTGTGAGCTCATTGAATTAGTGCTTTTAGGATAAAAAAATCTCTTTGGGGCCTTGTTCCACCCTTTAGGGAATAGAGCTGGCACAGGTGACATTATTTCAAAACAAAGGTGGAGGTAAGGGGCAGTGTGTCAACATTACCTCCTTAGGGAAAGAGCAAGAATGCTGAAAACTGCTTCAGGGCTAAGATGAGTAAGAGGCCATTTGGAGAGTCATGCTGTGAATGATTATAGGTTACTAAAAACACCCCCCAGCCTCCAGCTCCCTGTCTACTGCTCCTACGGCCCAGCCCGTCACAAAGCACTCTGGGCTCTTAGTCGTGAGTCCAAATTCAGTTTTAGTCATGAATTTATGAGGAACTACAACTCACTAGCAAGGGTTTTGAGCTTGGTATCCTTCTATCCATTTTTGGAAAATGGCTTCTCATCATTTCTTAAAGCAAAATAACACTCCAAGGTGTGGCTATAACATCTCTTGGTCCAGTGTCCATAGATGGCTGATGGACTTTAAGGTAGCTTCCATGTACTAGTGGCTATAAACAGTGTTGTTGTGAACACTGGAACATACTGATTTTTTGTTGATGACTTCATCTTCCACTGGCATATGCCTAAGGTGGGATTACAGTGGTATACAGTACTTCTATTTTTAGCTTTTTAAAAAAAATTATTTACTTATGTATACAG